TCGGTCTCTGCCATTGGACAAACATACTTTAGTCAGCAACTTGAGGAAAATTGGAGAGGTAGTTGCAGTGACTGGGGATGGGACAAACGATGCCCCTGCCTTACATGAGGCAGACATTGGACTTGCAATGGGAATAGCTGGCACAGAGGTAAACTCTAATTATTCTGTTATTGGTTTGGTTAATAAAAAAAACTCGAGATTAACATTTCCGTTCTGTGCTAATTCCCGATATGCAGGTTGCGAAAGAGAATGCTGATGTGATCATAATGGACGATAACTTCAAAACAATAGTAAATGTGGCTAGATGGGGACGTGCTGTATATATAAACATTCAGAAGTTTGTTCAGTTCCAGCTAACTGTTAATGTGGTTGCTCTGATCATCAACTTTGTCTCTGCTTGCATCACAGGTACTATGAAAAAAACATTCAAACACCATCTTTCTCCTATTGTTTGGTCATATATAGTCACCATTTCTTTTGGTTTCTTTTCCAGGATCTGCTCCACTCACTGCTGTGCAACTTCTTTGGGTCAACATGATCATGGACACACTTGGTGCATTGGCTCTAGCAACAGAACCTCCCAATGAAGGTTTAATGAAACGTGCACCAATCGCCAGAACGGCCAGCTTCATCACCAAAACCATGTGGAGAAACATCGCCGGTCAAAGCGTTTACCAGTTGATTGTCTTGGGAATTCTCAATTTTGCAGGCAAATCACTTCTCAAACTCGATGGCCCTGACTCCACAGCCGTTCTTAACACGGTCATCTTCAACTCCTTCGTCTTTTGCCAGGTACCTCTCTAAAACAAAAACTAACCCAGCTCGTATATAAAAGATAAGCAACATGATAATCAAAGTGGTTAATGGTATGTAAAAACAGGTATTCAATGAGATCAATAGCCGCGAAATAGAGAAGATAAATGTGTTCACAGGAATGTTCAATAGCTGGGTCTTCACATGGGTAATGACTGTGACCGTAGTGTTTCAAGTGATCATAGTGGAGTTTCTTGGAGCATTTGCAAGCACCGTTCCTTTGAGCTGGCAACATTGGTTACTATCAATCTTGGTAGGATCATTGAGCATGATTGTAGCCGTTATCCTCAAATGCATACCCGTCGAGTCTTCTCACCATCACGATGGCTACGACCTGCTTCCTTCTGGTCCTTCTTCTTCCAACTCTGCCTGATACCGTTACTATGTTCATCTTTTTTTTTTTTTTGTTATCCACAGATATGGAAGTTTTCTATTTTTGCTTATTTGGATACTACTGCAAATTCTTATTTTTATACCACGAATGGAATTTTGTTTTCGGCTCACTCCAAATCCTCCTCCTATACGGTTTTTGTTTTTAACGTTGCTCTTCTTGGGGTAACAATCGAGTTTCATTGCGATCTTAGATAAATAACTTCAGGTACAAGGTTACATGACATTGAGTAGTTAAAATGATGGTAAAAAAAAATAACTTCAGGTACAAGGTTACATGACACTGAGCAATTAAATTTGCATTTTAATTGAATGCTATCTATCAAGAGCTGTGCTAAGAAAGTTAGATTCCATTTTTTTTTTTTTTTTTTTTAGTATTAGAAAATTTAGAGATATGATTTTTTTTAGTATTTTTAGTATTAGAAAATCTAGAGATATGATTTTTTTTTTTAGAGAGAAGATTTGATTAATTGATTCACAGTATGATCAGAACATCTACTTTTCTTCGTATAAATATAACTAATTCGTTTTTGATAAAAGTAATAGCATCTAAAGAGATTTGTGATATACTGATCTGTATAACGTCATTATTTATCCTGGTCGTAGGTGAGTCTATAATGTTGAATTAGAACGCTTACGTAAAGGATAAACATAATAAAACGCGTATTCATTGAATTGTGAAAATAGAATGACATATTATTCTCTGGATGACATGTTAAATCAAATCATATACTAGCATAATAAGATACAAGATTTTCTTCAATCTGACATAAATATACAACATAGCTTTATTTTCTGTATACACACGTATATAAAACGTCGGAAAAAGATTGAAAGAACACCAACTTTGCTTCTCCAATACATATGAAACATTAACCCAAAAAAAAAGAACACCAACTCTGCTTAAAATGCTTTTATAAAAGTAAAATAGTATGCATAATATATAGTTGCACTTTTCGACACTTCCCTTTGTTTATTGAAGTTTAAGAACTTGGTCACGCGTATGAAATCTTTGGAAAAGCAATAACTGTACGGACGTCATTGTCAGACGTCAAGTTCAATAAACAAAAAAGAAGAAGAAGAAAAAGCGAGTTTCCCGGGACCCCTCGGTTTTCAACTTAATTTACGATTGTGCCATATGACTCGTCATTTACTCCTAGCCGTCGGATGAAAAAGCCAGAATCTGAGAGTGTACATGTAACTGGAAAACACAGGAACATATTCGCGTTTGTACAAAGACCATAGTCAAAGAAAAGTCAATAAATCTGACGGTTGAGATTTTCAGTTGGAGGAAAAGTGGTCCCCATGGATTAATAAAACGGCTTATTTTGGTCTCCACGCGCCTCCGTTGGTTTATCCAAATGTAGCATCCCCGTTCACCGTTTAAACCGACCTCTTTCTCTCTCTCTACACTCTACTCTAAATATTGCAGAGTGTGTTGTTCGTCGCTTTCACTGCCAGCCTTTGTTTTCTCTCTCTCACTAAATTCTCTCGCCGACCTTCTTCAAACCCTAGAAAAACGCTTAATTTCTGGAAGATCGATCGACGAAGCTCTCTCTTCTTACCCGGTATGGTTAGAGCCTTGAGTGTTCTTGTGGATTTAGTTTTTTTTTTTTCGTGCATTTTGATTTCGAGGTTTGGAAATAGATTTTACTGTTTTTCCTTTGGTTCTTTAGTGAGAATTGCTTTGGCAATATAGAAAGGTGGGTGAAAGTGTTGGTTTTTTTTTTTACAGGATGAATTTAGCGGTTTATCGTTGTGAGTGACCACCATGGATGATGAAGAAGATCTCTGGGGTCCGCCACGAGGTAATTTTGGTTGGATCAATTATGGTATAATATACTGTTTCTTGTCTTGTGCTGATGATTATGCAAAGTTTGTGTTTTTTTTATTTGTAGTTGTGCAGCAAGACGATACTTTTCGTAAGCAAACCCTGCGTCGTTGTGAATTTTGGTTTGATTGTAGAACAGGTACTGGTTGATTTTGGTTTAAAATTGCTTTGAATTTTGTTTTGATTCTCTTTTGAGAACAATCGTTTGTTGCTTTTTTAGATGTGCTCGAAGAAAATTTCCAGAACGAAAAGTTTTGTGAGCTAGTGTGGAGGATATTGACCGAGAAGAAGAAGAAGCAAGTTGCTGAAATTGCTGAGCTTGAGAGGGTTTCGGTTTCTCTTCAAAATAATGATACGGCTTCCTCTGAGAGTGGTGGTGACTTGCATGAGATAGACTCTTCTGATTCTGTAATATACTTTTAAGTTTTACATTTGGTTTTTGTATTCACAGTTTTTGACTAGGACTAGTAGTAACTTGTTATGTCTTCTACAGGATAAAACTCTCAGTGCTACTCTTCCAGATTCTGATTCAAGTTCTGCTAAATTGCCTCTTTATGACGATGATAACACTTCTAGTATCAGCGATGCTCAAACTATTCAGACCAGAGATTCTAGTAACGACGACACTGAAGAAATTGAGCCTGAAACAAGATTGATTACTCACGACACAGCAGCAAATGATCCACTAACAGTTGAGGTCTGTACCGTTTTCTTCTTTTCTGAGTTCATTGTCATGCATCCGTGGGAATCTTGTATCATGCAACTTTTTGTTTTCTTGTATAAAGAACCAAATGAGCAGCTTGGATGTTCGTAGTAAAATGCTGTGTTTTTCAATGATAGGTTGCTGAAGATGCTGATACCTCTTCTAGCCCTGTGTTAGCAAGCAAGATTGACGAAGCTGAAGAACATTCTTGTTCATCCTTGGTTACTGACCAAGTCTTTGATCCTATTAAACAAGCCCCTGAGAACAAATCTTCATCTGCTATAAGCCGTGAGAATACTGAAGGTTCCACCCTGAGGCCATTGCTTTTGGAGACCCGGAAGGCAAATGCTACAAACGAAGATGGGGACATATTGAAGGATCATCAGCAAAACGATAGCTTGCAAGATATTGTAACTGCTTCTGAACCTTTTACCACAGAGTCTCTCTTAGAAATGTGTGATGAACCGGACAAAGGGAGAGAAATCTCATGTGGTGAGCGAAGCAAAAAATCACAACCTGAAGCTGTGGTGAAGACTGTTGTTAAAGACGAGCTGATCATAAGCTTGCTTACCGAGGCAAGAAAAAAGGCAGAGAGCAAGAATCCTGGGTCAGTCCTAATAAAGAAGAGGCAGAGACAGTCTAACAGCAGCGATAGTAATGGCGTGAACACAAGTTTTATCAGAAACATCAAGCAGAAAGTACAAGGTGGGGCTGCTGAGATTAATATTGATCCAGTTAAAAACTCATCCAGGTCGACACCAAAGATCATCAGGGGTTCAAGTGTTCCTACACAGCATGCAGATTCATTGTTGGATTCGATAGACGGAAAAATCCAGAGAGGTGGACATAATGGAAGTGACTCGGTGATATCATTATCAATTAGTGAGTTGAAGAAGAAGACGGGCAAGGAATTAAGAAGCATAGCGAAGGATCTGAAAGTAACACATTACTATAAGCTCAAGAAAGAAGATCTGCTTCAACGGATAACCAATCAACTAAACCCCAGTTAGCCGATTGTACAAAGCAGAGAATGGAGTCATAACCGATCTCAGTGGTATAGTTAACATTAGGCCTTACACAACAGTCCTTCTCATTTGTTTCTTTCTCTCTATGGTACAACCATTAGCTTGAATAATCATGCGGAGGTTGCTTGGCTTTAGAGTGCAGCGTTTCAAAATAGTCTAAAGTAAAATGCTTATTGAGATAATGAAGTTGATATTTGCTTAGTAACTAAAAATGTGTGTTTTCTTTCTTCAAGTAAAATTGTTTGAGCAAATAAAGCTCTCATTGATCATAAAGAAAATGATACAAGGATTGCATTGACTCAGGTACTAAAGAAAGAATCCATTTCAAGTTATGACAGATTTGAAACTATAATGTTTCAAATTAAAGCTATAATGTTTTAATGTAGCATCTGCAGCTTGCACAAGTAATTTATGTTGTATCTCTTAGTAATCAGATCCAACAAGTTTGGATTGTAAAAGCCATGACTGACTAATCAAGGCTGACCAAGAAGGGAAGGCCTGTAGAATGCATGGCTCTGTGCAATCTCAATACGGTCTCTGGGATCGTTCAATGTTTCATCCCTTAATGCTTGTAGAATAGCTTGCGTTGATTGTTCTCTGCAAAATTGAACAACAGAATTTATTAGAGAATAGAAGAAGCAAGTTTCTAATGATTCAATGTCTCACAAAGTCCCAATGGATTCTTGAAAACTAGAAATCTGACTTCCGATCATGTCACACCAACTCTGACTGACTAAAGTTTAAACTTTCAGATTTCATATAATTTACCTTGTGATGAGTATCTTGTAGAGTGTCTTTAAAATGGGACATGATTCTACCGGGGCTACAAGTTTCTTCTCTTCAGAGGGCAATATACTTAAGCTTGACTGACTAAGCAATTGGTAAAATGCTCCCACAGCAGAAACACCCTATTCAACACCCTATTCAACAAAAATCCCACATCCTCATAAGCAAAACAGATACCAAAAAATTTCAAACTTCTTTCTCAGAGATCGAGTACCTGAATCATTCCCTTTCCGCTTATGCTATCACCCATGTCTCTATTTATCTCCCCCTTTGCCAGCATTTGCCCGTACCACGCATTACGCCCTTTTAATAAGGTCACATAAGTGTCAGCTAGCAAAGGCCCTGCAAGTTTCTCAGGCTCTTCTGCTAGTAAATGAGTTATAAATATCATCTCAGATGTACAATGAGCAAAATACACCGACTTGCTTGTAGCGCTCTCTTTAGTGAGCGCCGCTACCATTCCTGAACAAACAAGAAAGACCAAAGTGTGAAAACCCGAGATTATCACTCAAATCCTTGAGTGCATACAGAAACTTACCAGCTCCAATGGCGTAGACATTCTTGAGACCTCCCATTACTTCATGTGTCACAAGATCACTGTTGTCCCAAACAATGAAATGAGGTTGTCTTAAGAACTTAGCTAGTGGCTTCCTCCATTTAGCAGCTCCGCAGATTCTAGCATTGGCATATTCCTTGTTGTAAATTTCAGCAGCAATGTTCGGTCCACCAAGATACAGGACATTGTCAATCGGCACACCAGCTACCACAAACAATGAAAGTGCAAATCAATTTTAGAAAACTAAGCAAGACTGTGTCAATACAAAGGGATCAAAATCAAGAAGAAGAAGAAGAAGCTTACTTGCTTGATGAATCATCTTTGTTGGAGTTATGATATGTGGAACTGGTTCAAGAGCAGTTTCAATACCCTTTGACAGAGAGATAATAATCGGAACCGTTATTCTCTCTTTCCAATACTTACTAATCTCTTCAAACACTTCACGTGTTTCTGTTGAAGGCAATCCATTAACAACAATATCAGCATCCCACACAGCTTCTTGCAGATTTGTCACAACCTTGAGAGGACAAAGCGGTGTGTCAACCATGTTAAGACAAAACCCGTCTTTCAAAATCTCATCAGCATAGAGCGTCCTATCACCGAGCCTTGCCTCGACATATTTCAGATAAGCGCAGCGTCTTATCAGTCTCCTCAAGATATCTTCCCTTGAATTGATCACTTCAAACAAATGTTCTGCAGTTTCCCTATCAACAGCTCTCCCAGCTCTTCTCCATATCCTGATCTGAAACTTATCCCTAAAACCTCCATAGCTTTCTTGAAGAAGTGCTGCAAAAACACTTCCCCAAGCACCAGCACCAACACTTACAATCCTTAGCGGATCTTTGTCAGATTTCCCCAAAAGACGACGAAATTCGTCAAGTTTCTCCTCCAAATTAAGACCATTATGATGAACAGACCCATTTGATTGCAGGCTTTTGGCCTCAATGCTTCCCACCATTCCTTCTTCTTTTGGTCCACACAAACACAAGAAGTTCAAACAAACCAAAGACAATACTGAACAATGTCTAGAAATGATTTTCTGGTTGTTATGTAAATCCACTACAGATTTATATATGGGTTTGGATCATAGAGAACAAAGAAATCAAGTTGGATTTGAAAAAACAAACAGAGAGACCAACTTGAGCATAACCAACTCCTTGCTCCAAAAAATAACAAGATTTTCTTGGTTCGCTAACTCAGATTTTTCTCACCAAACAAATTTGGGTTGTTTTTGTGTTGTAACTTCTTCTGCCATGTAAGAAAGAGGTAAATCATAAAAATCAGACATTAATGCAAAGATACCAAAAATTCCTTTAAATAGTAATGCTAACATGACACAATGAAGAGAGAAATCAAAGAAATATTATGGAATAAAATAAAGGAAATACAATAAAACTCTGTTAGCTCCGTCTTTGAGTTGTTCATCTACCAAAAGAAGACTGTCCAATAAAATAAAAACACAAGTCAAGAACAAACCTTTCGTGTCGGCAACCATAAAGAAGTAAGATATCAAATCAGCTCATGAGAATTGCCAAATCAAGAAAGTAAAAAACGCATGAGAAAGATTTGGGAATCATCAAAACTTGCATGCAGAAGAAGAGTTAAATTAAATACAGAGCAAAGCTTATTGTGCAAAGGGAGAGGAATGGACAAAAGCATTGATTGGTACAGTTGAGGACATAACCAATTGGTACTATTTAATTTAAATTAGTTATGGGGATATTTAAGGGAAGGTGCCTAACTTCGGATACATTCATTAATGGCACAACAAAATTTACTCCCAACTTTTTTTTGGTAACAGTCTTCCTCGTTTTCTCTATCACCTCCATTTTACTCCCTCCGTTTCGTTTTACTTGTCGTTCTATAGTTAAAATTTTGTTTCATAATAGTTGTCGTTTTAGGTTTTCGATGCAAATGTTTTGTGAAAATTCCAGTTTTATCCCTACTGTTTTAATGTTTCGACCAATGAATTTTTTTATAAAATATATTAATAAAGGGTAAAACAGAAAATTTAATGCTTTTCTTAATTTGTGTGAGAAAACCTTAAACGACAACTAAAACGAAACAGAAGAAGTATTTGGTTTGTGGATGGATTCCCAATCTGAACTACATTTATGGGAAATTGTTTTACCTATACAGGCATTTATTATACACCGAAAAACAAATTAATATTCATTAGGCCTGGGCAATCGGTTTTATCGGTTTGTTCGGTTCGGTTTATTCGGTTTTTCGGGTTTTTCGGTTTTTAAAATTTCTGCCGAATTGAACCGAATAAAAATTCGGTTCGGTTCGGTCGGTACTCGGTTTGTTCGGTTCGGTTATAGGCCAAAAAATCAATTCCGAAATAAACCGAAATTTTTTCCAATTCGGTTAATTCGAACCGAATTAGACCAAAATAAAGATAATGGGCTTTTAATAAACAAAATTTTACGGTTACAAACGAGTAAAATAATGGGCCATGACTAATTACAGAGTTAAGCCCAAATAAAACTAAAACCCAAGTTCAAAAAAAAAAATAGGGTTGATAGACTCGCCGCTACTCTCTTCCTCCGCTGTCACAGTGACGGCGACGAGATGGCGGTGTCATTCAAACAATGCGATCTCTCCGAACCCTCAACGAAAGCTATCATACCATCGTCAAAATCACATGCAGTAAGAATCCAATATCTAAAATTGAGAAAATAGGAAAAGAAAAACAAAATTGAAAATCGATTAGATCTGAAGTTTTACATGCCGTGTGTTTGGTGACAAGGAGGAGCGTAACGGCGACGCCAGCGATAAACGGCCAAAACATTTCGAATCTGAACCACAGACTCGATGTCGGAGAGAATGATTCAAAATAGCCATGGGTTAGGATGATAAGGCCAACAACGTTTCAAATCTCTCTTGAATAACACTTGCCATGGATTGATGTCGAGGCTGAGGAAGAAGAAGAGAAGAAAAGAGATGGAGAAGAAGAAGAAGAAGCTATAAAGTTAACGAAGGAATGAGAAGAGATCGAAGGAGAAAAGAAGAAAGGAGATGGACAGGAAGAAGCTATAGAAAATAGATCTAGGGTTTTTGTTTTTTTATATGGGTGTCTATTAACCGATAAAACCGATCGGTTACCGTCTGCCGAACCGAACCGAACCGAGAACCGAAGTCTAATTATAATTCTGCCGATCGGTTTAGCCTTTCCTTCCTTATCAGTGCCAAAAACCGAAAAAATCGGTTTGTTCGGTTCGGTTAATTCGGTTTATTCCGATTGCCCAGGCCTAATATTCATACAAGTTAATAAATAAATGGGTCCGCCGCAAAAAAAAAAAAAAAGTCAATGCATTATGTTCTGATGTGTTATGTTTTAAAATGTAAGATTTTTTAGCTAAAAACACAAAGTTTAAGAAATTAATTATTCTTTTTATTTTTATATTTTCTACATTAAAAACATAATTTAATATTATATTAAAGAGAGTGGCCAATAAAATTTTATACTGCAGAATATAAATAGTTACAAAAATATATAAATTTAATTTTTGCATGGAAACTTGAATATTTTTGTTCTAAATATCTTATCTTGTGAAACAAAATAAAATGGCTAAAACGTTCTATTTGATCACCTGACAAAGACACACTTTACAATGAAACTGATTATTATTACATTTTCTCTTGTTTACTTACGACGAGAAACATTAATAAAACTGGATTTTTGATTTTCACATTAAGATATTCAAATGGGCCTTTGAAGACCGTTTAGTTGGGCCAGAACTCTTTAAAATATATGTTGTGGAATTATTTCTATATGGGCTCTCTGATCCACCGTAGAAACCGATAGACCTCTCTCACTCGATCATCATTTCTTCTTTCTTCTTCGTCTTCGCTGCATCTGTCTGTTCTTTCTTCTAGACTTTGCACAGAGATAGTGAGTGAGATAGGGAGAGTGATAATGGACAGTGGACTAAGCGAGATCGGGAGCACGAAGATGTTCGATGGCCACAACAAAAGATACAAACACTACAGTGAGACACTCGGATGTTCCATGACCTTTTCTATCTACTTCCCTCCTTCTGCTTCATCTTCCCATAAATCTCCTGTATGCAATAATCTTATTTCTTGTTCATTACTTTGATCTCAATTATTTGCTGTAGTTTTCTCGATTCATGTTCTTTGGTAGAGATTTGATTGTTTCTACAGTAAAAAGGAACCCTGAGAATTTGTTCCCTTATCTTCACTCATCTGATTTCATGTCTCTAATTTGAACCAAGTATTACTGGTATTTGTGGGTTTCTTCCATATTGTTCTAAAGACGAAAGCATGATTGTGTTTTGAGCCTTGATTTTGTTGGGATGCCAAAAATTCATGCTACTTCATGCTGTTGATTGAAAGGTGCTTTACTGGCTTTCTGGCCTCACCTGCACGGACGAAAACTTCATTATCAAATCAGGAGCTCAACGTGCTGCTTCGACTCACGGCATTGCTCTTGTTGCTCCAGATACTTCTCCAAGTGAGCCACAATAGTATTTTCATTTGTTTGATTTGCCCTGTTTCTTACTCTGGTTTATCATCGTCCCTTGATGTGTATTTTTAACACTCTGTGACGAGAACTTTGTGTTTTCCCTGATTAACACTCTGTGGTGATTTTCATATTGTAGGAGGACTAAATATTGAAGGGGAAGCAGATAGTTACGACTTTGGTGTAGGTATGCAACGTTACATGCTTCTGGTTTGCATTCCATGTACTTTTTTCTGAACAAGTTGTAGCTTTGGACCTATTGGTCTGGTCTCTAAGTATTCAGGTCATTCTTACAATGAAGGGTGATAAAAATTTCTTTCTTTTGTGTTTTATTTCGACTAGGAGCTGGATTCTACCTCAATGCTGCTCAGGAAAAGTGGAAAAACTGGCGTATGTATGACTATGTTGTCAAAGAGTTGCCAAAACTCCTGAGTGAAAACTTTTCTCAGCTTGACACAACAAAAGCATCTATATCTGGACACTCCATGGGTGGACATGGAGCTCTTACTATATACCTGAAGAACCTCGATAAATACAAGGTACTTATTTCAAAAGATTTTGTGCATTTCCTTGTGGCATTGCAATGTGAGTATTGAGTAAGATGCTTGAAACTTGGAATCTCAAATCAAAAGATAGATTGTCTTTCATGGGGGTGTTTGGATAATGCGCTTGAACCAAATACTTGTTACTCCTATATCATTCTTTTTAATTTAACCACTTTTTCTGTGTGACATGTTTAGTCTGTGTCTGCGTTTGCACCAATTGCCAATCCCATAAATTGTGCATGGGGACAGAAGGCATTCACCAATTATCTAGGTGACAACAAGGCTACTTGGGAGGTAAAAACCAACCTAAAATAAGATATCATAGTTCCCTTTCCAAATTTGATGCATAGTTCCTTTTGGAAATTTCAGGAATACGATGCCACTTGTCTTATTTCAAAGTTCAACAATCTGTCTGCAACAATTCTAATTGATCAGGTAAAACCCCTTTCACCATGTGTTTTTGCTGGTTTATCTGTCTTCCTTTACGTGGAGCCTGAACCATCTTCGCTTCTACTGATATAGGGAGAAAGCGACCAGTTCTACCCTGATCAGTTATTGCCCAGCAATTTTGAGGAGGCGTGCAAGAAAGTGAATGCACCGCTCTTACTGCGCCTCCAGCCAGGATACGACCACTCCTACTATTTCATTGCCACCTTCATCGAAGACCACATTAGTCACCATGCTCAAGCCCTTAAGCTCTAGCTCACTTCGTCTGCTTGGAAACCAGCTTTGGGTTTGTCCAAATATTAGTATCTCAATAAAGCAAGTGGACTTGTAATGTTGCGTTCAATAACTGCCCTGTGTGCTCTTTCGTCTACGAAAATAAAAATCATCTTTGCCAAGAACACATAAATGTGTAAGACAGGAGTCTTTTAAACACAAAGATAGTGTTTCCTTAATTCCTTTACCAAGCTTAGGCCAAAAACGACCAATTTTGGACCACATGAAGACTCAGATAAAGGACTGTCGGCATGAAAGCGCTTTTTGATTTGTTAGACATGGTAAGATATAAAAGTGTGGGGCAGAGTAACATATTACCGAAATATTTGGGTAATTGTAAAAACTGTCAATACACAAACAAGTGCTACTCACCGGCTTTGTTACTTGGCAACTGCTTTTATAGTCAACAAAAGAAGGCCTCAACTGAAAGAATTCATTAAGGTCATTCAGCAAGAGCACTAATCTTACAAGGATCCTATTATTGAGTCCCTTGTCTGTGTGTTCTTTCATGGGGCTCAAAAGAATTTGCAAGAGTGTGAAGAGGTAGAGCAGCCTTAACATTTTTTTTTGTTTTTTTTCTGCTTGATAGTGGCTGCATGATGAAACTTGGCATGTTAATAACAAAATTAGGCACGACAAGCAACTTTAAGATAGAATATAGTAATATGTTAGACCAAATTAGGTTTCTCATTTATTTGATCTTTTGAATGTGTTACAAACAGTATAATCAGCAAAAGCAAACATACATTTTTTCAGTTACGTGTAGTTGGGTCACAACCTCTCAGTAGTCCCCCTTTTCACCATTGAAGCAAAGAATTCTTTCGAGGCAAGCTGGTATCATTTGCTGAATTGATGTGTAGCAGAGCTTTACACTTCACCAGCTGTGGAATAACACCTTGGAGGAACCCAGTGGATCCCTTTTGCTTATGCCACAAAAAAATACTGCGTTCCTTTTGCTTACGCCACCAAGAATTTTAGCCTTTTACCACCACCAAGAAGGCGTGTTTCGGTTTGTCCTCCCACTGTCCTTCCAATGTCGCCTGCTTGTCTGA